TGTACACGTGCTTTAGGAAATCCCCAAATGCATCTTCTCCAGCTGCATATTGTACATGAATTTGTAAATACTACAAGGATTTTAAAAACATCTTTTTCATTCTCAGAGTGTGTCTGAGCACAAGCATGAACACAGATGTGTTACACGGATGCTTGGCTCCTGCCACACTTCTGACTGATCCACGACGTACCGCAAAAATGACCTGGGATGGATGTCTTGAGGTTTAAATAATGGTTCTTTGGGATCCTTTTATAATATCTTATTCAAGTGTGATACTATACTAGAAATATCAAACCCCACAGTGGATGTTATCACTCTGCTACAGTGGGATACAGGGCGTGGACTCTGCCAAGTGGGGAAATACTTGTGAAGAGTAATGGCATCACTTCCAGAAACATTCAGTGCTTTCATTTGGCTTCTTAATGAAAATGTAGCATACAAAAGTTAGTGTCAGAGCAGCTGGGTGTTGGGATACCACTTCCCATGTGTAATACAGGTGTTTGGGAGGATATTCTGAGCACTACAGACTCATAACCTGTTGAATCATATTTATGATACCCACTATGTTTTCATATGGGATGTAGTACCAGAGAGCTCTACTGCCATGGTTACATTTGAGTAAAAGTTTAAACCTATTTTATGATTCATAATGCTAGAAAGAGAAAGCTGCAGTGGTTCAAGACCCCTCTGGACTTTGGCCAGACGCTTGAGCGCTGGGTCCCTGGTGAGCAGAGCTGGGCAGTGCTGCAGGAGGGCAGTGCGGGCGGTCCTGCCTGCGCCTTCAGTGGGTGCTGGCAAATTTGGGAAGGCTGTGACTCAACCGATGTGACTATCACAATCTGTATTTTTAGTTAAAGGTCTGTCTCTGTGAGGGAGTTTGTGGGGGATGTGTGATACGATGGGTCAGTCTCTACTGGTGCTGTTCATTAAAATGTTCGTAATTTTTTTTCCCATTTTAAACATTTTTTGTGAAATGGCCCAATGTAAATATTTTTCTAACAAGTCATTTTATTGAAAATGTTCCCAGGTTCATTCTGGGCAGCTTCCCATGTCCAGATGATGACAAGCAGCTCATTTTGCCTTGGCTATCTATTTGCAGGTCTCCCATGACCATAAACATGAATTCCCACACTATTGGCATGTTGGTTTGCGCTTGAGCAAAATACGGTGTCATAGTGCTAGATGTGGATCAGGGTCACCTTAGCCTTCATCAGAACAGGTTTGTTGCTTAAATACCACTTTCCACTGACTTTGGGATAACTGAGATTAGCCGTTATATCTTGAAACTGGTAGTTCATCGCAAACCATTGAAAAACTCACGTAGTAGACTTGGGCTTGTTATCAGACATTGCCAAATTCAGCCTTCACAATGCAGCAGAAATAGCTGTGAGTAATCACTCATCTCATACCAAAGGCTTAAAGACTGTCTGAGTAGGAGGCTGGCTTTCAGTCCCTATTGACAAATGAATGCTGCTTTTTTCCAGGAACAAACTTTTTGCTCAGCCAGCACGGGCTCCAGCGCCGGAGCTGACATTTACTTTGGCGTGTGTTATCAGCCTCAGGATTTTCCTCTGTGTCATCCACAATGTCTTGCTAAGCAATTTGTTAGGATCTTGTGTCTCTCCATATATCCTTTGCAATTTTTTGTTCTGCAGCATTCGGGAACCTCCTTCACAGCCCCATCAAACGCACCCTCACCTAGCACCGAGCACCCTTAGTTAATTGCAAACCAGGGGCTTTGCTTCTGCTTGGGCGTAGTGAAGTTAAGGTTTTGTTGGCATCTGTGAGGCATGAACCAGGGGTCTTCAGTCTAGACCATGCTGTTGAATAGCATCCTGTCAGCAGCCTCCTTGGAGATATCAGTTAGTTTTGTGCTTTAGTATGTCCCAGGAGCTGGAGTCACTCTAATTAACCCTTTCGGTTTCTCAAACTCCTTCGTTATACTGACCACGAACGCTGGCAGATTCCTGGCGTGGGCAATTCCATTAAACTCATTTTTCTCCATAGCACCTAATCCAAGAGCAGTGCATTTTATACCCCATCTTTTTTCCTGCTAAGCTGGTCATGCTGCTTGTGGGCATCATGTATCTGTGAGCTGCAGCTAAGTTTGGGGTTTTTTCCAGAATGGTTATCTGAGTTTTGCAGCATTTGCATCTTTGTTGGTTCAACTTTAAGCCCTGGCTTTCTGCTGCTGAAAGCTTACGGTCGCACGCACGCTTCTCTGTTGTCCCACTGTAGATCCTTACACCTCGGATCCCTTCTCCTGTGCTACAGCAGCCTCTCATTGAGCTCTGCAGCCCCGGCTTGCAGCTGCTGAGCTCCCTTTTCTTGGCAGATTCAAACAGCTTTGTCAAAGGACAATAAAGGGGTTTCCATTTGCCAGCTTCTGCAGTTTTTTCTCCCAGCCTAACAACTATCTGGCCTCTCTGTAGCATCTTCAGCAGGTTCCAACATCCCAGTTCTGAATTTTCTGTGTTTTTAGTGACAATCTGGTCCTTCGATACTTTTGCTCAAGCACAAACATCGATGCTTTTGTACCTCTGGGAAACTCATTCCTCGTACGTGGTGTTTTTATGTGAAATACTGAATTTATTACATTTCTCTCCTATGCTTTCACATCTTGATTAAATGAAAAATGTTAGAAACAGCAAGTGTTTAAAGATGCTCTGTTGCTGGACAGCAAGGCTGCCTTCTGCTATCAGTGTTCCTTGCTGCTGGCGCTCATTGTCGGTAGATCTGGAAGGCTGTGCTGTTCAAACTGTCTCCCTTTAGCCACATTTTCTAAAAAGCTACAGCTCATTTTTCCAGTTTGGATATTTCCTTACAGCATTTCATTCCTACACCTTCACGGCACGGTGACTCACCGGGATAGCACGAGACCCTGAGTCACGCTCCCAGCACAGCCCGTGTCGGTGTGATTCATTTTGGGATGCTGGGCAGTGAGCCCTGGCCAGCTGGCTCCACGGGAGCCTCCGCTGCTCTCTCCTCTCCTTTGAATTGCTTGTCTGTCTGTCTGTCCATCCGTCATTTCTGCCCTTAGCAAGGAAAAGTGTGCGGCGGCAGCAGCTGGTGGGACCAGTCGTTCCCCTCCCCTTCCAAATTGGACTCTCCATCTGGGTGAAGAAGGTGCAGCTCTCCCCTGTGTTTGCATCAAGGTCATCCTCTAAGGCTCTCTGTGGTTTTTTTTCCATGCCTTTTCACCTTGGATAGCCGCTTGTTCCTGTTCAGAGGGGCTATAAAGTGATACCACTGTTCTAAGTTAATAAAGAAGCCTGGTTAGGTCATGTCTAACATGCTGTTGTCATTAGGAGTAGTCATCCAAAGACAGAAAGTGAGGGTTCAAGGTCAATATTTTTGCAAAAGCAGAATCGTGCATCTCCAGGGCTTAATTTCCAGTTAAAACCAGCATGGGGAGTTCAGGGTCAGGTAACATGACGTAGCATATAGCTTTAGCACTGGGCAGGTGATCCCAAAGGACATGTTCAGAGTGCACGTAACCTCTGCAGGATTTTTATCAACAGATGACGTGATCACAGGTGGCATAAAGGGTCAGTGTTTGACAGAGCAGGGAGAGCTGGAGATGCTTTGTGTGTCCTAGTGCCCTGCAGCTGGGACTGGGAGTTAAACTCCATGTGTGTTTTGCTGCGAAGTCTGTGGCTGTGCTGGCAGTTGTGACCAGGGGGCTTTTGCCCTGGTTTCAGCTGGGACAGAGTGAACTTTCTCCCCAGCAGCTGGTGTGAGGCTGGTTTGGGTTTGTGCAGGGGAGAAGCTGATCACACACTGATGGGCAGAGCTGCTGCCAGGACAGTCGAGGACTTTCCAGTGTCTCTGCTCTGCCAGTGTCTGCAGGGGCAGGAGGAGCTGGGAGGGAGCACAGCCCCAGTGACCAGCCCAGGATTCCACCTCAGGGGTAGGACTGAGACCCAACTGGCCGATGGTCTGTTCCATCCCATGCCTGTCATGCCCAGTATAGAGAAGAGGTTCTGTCTGGAAGTTCTCTCTCTTGCTCCGGGTTGTCTCCCTCCAGGTGGCCCCTCTCTCAGGGTCATCTCCGTCTCTTGGACGCTTGGGCTCTTATCTCTGCTTGGGGATTGTGGTTTCAGGACTCTCCCTGCTCTGGGATTGTCAGCTGGGAACAGGCTGAGCCTTGGTCATGGGGTGGTGAGCAGTGTCACTGTGTATCACTCTTTTATCTCTCTCTATATATTACTATTATTATTATTTCCAATGCTACTGTAGTTTAGTTACTAAATTGTTCTCATCTCAACCCACAAGTCTCTTTTCTCTTCACCCCTTTAATTCTCTCCCCCATCCCTGGGAGGTGGGAGGGTGAGTGAGCGGCTGTTGTTTTGTTTTGCTGCCAGCCAGTGTCAAAACCATGACAACTTTGCCAGTGGCTGTACTGATTTGATCCAGTCACTGTGTCACCTTGCAAAGTGACAAAGGACCTATTGCGAAGGGGGGAAGCACCACGGCTTTTCCCAGCAGCTGAACAAGCCCATCCCTGGCCGGGAGCCGCGGCCGCACTTCTCCATCCCTGCAGACACCAGCTTTCACTGCACAAAGTCTGGGCACCAATCCCACAGATGTCAGGCCCCCATATGGCCGTTTCCTAATAAGGGATGTTTTTTCCAACAAACTCTTTAAATAAGAATAAGCGATGCACAGTTTTGACAGATCTGTCCAGTTCAATAAGCCAAACGACGGGACCGAATGCAGGAGAGAGCACCAAGACGATAAACAGCTCAACTGCGCACCAGCTTGTACCTTTTGCATTTAGGAGTAAATGATTCCCACGTAAGATTTAAAGCACAGGAGGTTAGATTTCTTGGTCCTGTCAGCTGGCTCGTGTTTGATTTCAGGAAGAGCTGACCCAGCCTGAGATACCCCGTAATGGAAATGTGTGCCCAGGCGCTGCGGGGCTGCCCGTCCCGGTGATGGGCAGCTAGGTTTCTGTCTTTTCTGGAGCTGATTTTAATATTCTGTATATTTCTCTCTAGATACTGTTAGAAGCTGCGTAGCGAAGCTGTTCTTCAGCTGTCCCCTGAAGGGCCATTACTGCCTGTACAGTAAATCCAGTTTCACCCTGGTCAGCCAGCAGCCTCCGCTCTGGATCCATCTCATGTTCCTCTTCCAGCAGGTGTGTGCGATACGAATTACTAGCACATCTATATCGCTAATTTTGTACTTAGAAAAAAATGTTTTAATGCTTAATCTCTTTAAATAATCATATTAATCCACAGCGCTTTGTGACCCTTGTGATTTCTCAGAAGGTTGAAGGGATTTTTGCAGTTTATAAGTTTTTTTTTTTATATTTCTATGAAATACAACAAATTCAAAATGGAGAGATCACACAGTCTGGGGATAAAAAAGTGGGGCCAAATGCTGTGAATTTAACTGCTCACATCACTCTTCCCTGTGTTTGCTCCTGGAAACAAATATTAAAAATGCTTTTCAAAAATGCAGGTCAGTAGGGCTTGGTATTTGGGTGCTCCAGGACAAGCAGGGGTCTCCGTGGCTCCCGGTGCCTGCGTGGGCTGTTTGTGGGGCTGGGGGCTTTGCTGTAGGTGAGGAACGAGGATGAGGATGGTCAGGAGCTGGGGAAGGAGAGGCCAGTGACAAAGCAAAGGAAGAAAGAAGAGCAGAGGAAGAAAGAGGGGGGAGAAGACAACATGGAAAGTTGAAAATAAAGGAGGTGAATTACTCTGCCAATGAAACCCTGATGAGAGAGGTTGGATGTTAACAGGACCTAGAGACAAGACAGGAATTACATTACGAATGGGTCGTTTTATTCCTGATGAGAGGAAAACAGATGTTGAAAAATATGGATTAAATCACTAAAATGCTCTGAAACAAGCAAGGAGGAGCAGAGGCTGAGGAGACGGTGGCAGAGCCGGCACGCTCGCTCCCTGCTCCGCTGGCCATTAACACAGCGACCTCCGCTCCGTCTGCGGTCCATGGTGTGAACCAGCGGCACTGACAATGTAATCACCAAATCCATCCCTGGAGCCTCGCCTTTTCCCCACACACTCTTCATTGGAAACCCTTTGCCTTTAACCCCTCCCCAGGTCACCCTGAGCTCGGCCCTGCCAGTTCCAGCGTTTATCAGGATAACTGTGCTTCGCATCGTTCCCAGCTCCCAGGGAATCCCCATCCCTCTGCCCTGCGGTGCCCGTTCCCCCGTCCCATCCCTGCCCCTGCTGGGTCCTGCTCCCTTTGGATGCTGCCCCCAAACACTGGTTCTCCCTGACTACTTAAAGCTTTTAAATTCTGGTTATCTTAACTATTATTAAATTACTAAATTCAACCCTGGGATAATGTTATTTAAGCCTAGTTGTACAGGAGATAAATTTGACATAAAATGTATTTATAGTGTGTTAATAATGAGTTAAATCAAAGGCTGGTGATAAAAATTTAGTTTTCAGCAGATCCATCATAGACTCACAGACAGATGAACTAATCTACGGTTTCTGAAGGTTTAAATTCCAGTTACCGTATTTTTATTCCTCCATGTTCTGTTTGACATCGTCTTCTGCAGAAGGAGCAGCGAGAAGAGAGACTTTTTCTCTCAAGTGTCCAGAAGAGATCCCTAATTTCATGACCCTGTTTTCTTTTTATTCTCTATTTAATTTGAAAAATATTAGTGAATAATTATATCCTGTTTTGAAACCCTCGGATGGAAGTCATGACACAGGAGATGATTAGTGCAGGGCAGTGGGGAGAGAAGCTTATGTCGGCAGAGATCTGAGAAATTGCCTTACAGCTAAGCAATGATGAACAAAAGGAACAAAATTAGAATAAGGGGTGATGTTGGAGAGGTTATTTGATAGGATGCTTACTTTCACCAATTCATTCATTAAAATAATTCTCCAACGCTACATGATTTATGGTTTAATTTCCCTCATCCTGCTCCAGTAGCACCAACGTCCCTTCCTAACACCCTCCCCAGGGTCGCTCGGACATTTGCCCAGCACGGACTCATTGAGCTGCTGTTTTCTCGTGCCAGAGGGACTGCTTTCCCTCTTTACTGGGACAAAATGATCCGGCTGTTTCTGACGGCTTAGCTGGGAAAAATGCGTTGCCCCTGCCATGATAAAATTCCTGGTTTGCATCTCGCTGGATGTGTCTGTGTCAGCTGGATGCCAGACAGTGTGACTGGGATGGTCGGGTTTCTGTTTAGAAAGAGAAGGAGGAATGTCCATCCAGGAAACTTACGTTAAAAGGACATTGTTCCTATTGCGAAATCAATTACTCAAAATACGGAAAATCAGATTTGCTTGTGTGCTTTTAACTTGGCTCCTGCATGCAAATGCATTTTTTAATTCCAAGATCATGTAGTAGATACAGCGGAGGCAGAAACGCTCAGCTCTCATAGTGCTCTTGAAGCGTTGGCTTTGTGCAGTTTATACGATGAAGAACTTGATGCTGGTGAAATATCAGAATAATTCCAGGCAGCGTGAAGGTGCATCCTCGCTGTCCTTTGAAACAGGGAGATTGGGAGGGGAGAACACCCAACCCAACGCAGGCTTCATCTTCTTTTGTGAATCTTCAAGGGCTGAAAATTCCTGTGCTCTGCCAGCAAAACTGGTGTTGAACGTGTTCTGTGGAGTTTTTCCTCTTGTGTTTCACCCCATTGCCCGTTCGGTGCAGTGGCAAGTGTTGTACCGTTCCTGTCCCTGCGCAAGGACCGCGAGCTGCAGCTGGGTCCAGAGGAGCCCACCCAAACCCGCAGCGGTGCTGAGCATCCCTTGGCGTTGGCTGGTAAATGACCCCTCTTTTCCAAAGGGATGCACGTCACCGAGATCTGCTCCTGGCACGCAGAGGCTGGGGCTGCTAACGGCTCGATAAACCAGCACTGCGATGCAATAAGGGCGTGCAACCTGCTATGCGCAGCGACAGCTGATAGATCATCTTGGGTGAGCCCCTGGCCTTACAGATATCTAATGTACAATTTAAAAAAGCCCCAAAGGAAATGAAATATTTGAGGATTTCTCTAATTGCGTGCACAGTGATCCATCATAACTCCTTACAGTGAACTAATCCCTGGTTATTGGCGTGGCTGCCCCACTGTCAGAACATGGTGCTCTTTGTTGATGGCTAAGTGAAAAAAAATAATGAAATCCTGTTTTCAACATTTTCTGCAGAGCTTGTTTGCAGAACCTCTGTCCATACAGAGTAATTCCGTGCAAGTACTCAAAGCCCTGTGGGAGAAGACACAGCTCAAGGGGACGCACAGTTTTGAAACTGCCATGATTCAGTCCACATTTCCACACCAAAAGGTAAGCTTGGTTTTTTCCCTCAGGAAAAAAAAAAAAAAAAATACTAGAAGAACTTTGCTCTGACTTTTAGAACAACTGTACAAAGACCGTTGCAATAGCCACAGCAAGTCTTGGCTGTGCTCAGATTGTGACAAACAAAACCCCTTTCCCTTCCCCATCCCCTTCTTTGCCTTAGCTCTGTCGTCGTCCCAGCGTTTCCACTCACTGCTGCGCCATGTCCTCGTCCCCAGGATGGCCACATGGTGATCCACGGTGCGTGCCTCTGCCCTCCCGGTTATACAAAGCGCTGGGCTCGTGGGGACGGTAGAAAACGTTCACCAGCCGTGATATTTTCAACCTCCGCCGAGGTCCGCAGCGTTGGTTTGTGCTGAGCTGCGGAAGGTCTCCAGGCGTGTTCTCCACCCCCTCCTCCACGCTTCCTGCGGGTTGCTCCCGACGTGATGAACACTCGCTATGCCACAGGTGGATTTTCTCCTGCTCGCACTTTCAAGCTCGAGATCCAGATTAGCTGCCACCGTGGGCTGGTTGGCAGCTGCTTGGAAATTCACCGAGTGAAACACAGGCTCGGATTTTATGGAAATGATCATTTGCACGTGCACCGTGGGTTACCCCTCTGCCCGTTTAAAAGATTGCTCTTGCAAAGCTGTTTACTGTCTCCAGGATTTCAGCGAACGCTATTTCAAAGCTGTGAATCAGGCTCCTTGGAAAGGGCCGCTGCAGGATTGTAAAATAAATACTGGTTGTATTCCTGAACATCTCCATCCAGCTCAGTTGGATAAAATGACTTGTCAAACATGATTTGGAAATTATTTCTCTTTCAGAATATTGTACGCGTGAAGATGTCTGGCTGAATAAGATTAATTTACTAAGGTTATGGCTGATTTAAAAACAGGAGTTTTGTTAGACACACCTTCTGAACCCCCAAGATAATGGTAAGAAGAGTTGGGGATCCCCCATCCAAGACCCAGCTCATGGGTCAGCCTGACTCGGACACAGCGGAGCTTGCAGGGAGTATTGTAGCTGCTAGTGAGGGCCCAGCCTGACTCATCCCAAGGCTTTTCTGTTCAGTGCTGGCTTAGCCTGAGCCCACGCCAAGCTCTACCAGTCGAAACTTGGAGCCGGTAGAGTGTGAAAGGGTTTGGGGTGAATAACGCGCTTAGGGGAGAGCGTGCCTTCGTGGGGAGGATTCGATGTAGTGCATCACACGCGCAACGTCCACAAAACGTGTCCAGCCCCCTGGAAACGGGATTAGGCTCCAGCACATCGGTTGTGTAATCCTGCCGCTGCTCAGCTACCACCAGCTGGCCTATTTTGGGAATTTTCATTGTTCCGTGACAGCCACAGCATCTCCCAGTTCCCAAAATAGCGGGGCTGGAAAACACAATACTCATCTTCACGGAGTCGGTGAACTGAAACAGTGAGTGGACATTTGGAAACTCTGGGAGCTGCAGATTCCTGACAGCCTTCGGAGGCTGAAGACAAAGGGATGGAATGATCTGAAATGGGAAAAAATTTTAATATTTGCTCTTGGTCTCCGCAGTACGCTGCTGGATTTGCTTCCTCAGTTTTGCTTTTGCTTATTAATTTGTTTCTAGTGCCATTTCCATTCAGTTTGCTGAGAAAAGTCCCCACTGAGTTCTCTGGGAGCAAGACCTTGACTTAAGGAAGGTTTCCTTTAGCTTTTACATTCCCAGAAAATCAAGCCGGAGCATCCCTGCCATGACCTGGTCCTTACTTTGCTTGACAGACCAAACTTCTGCAGTAATCCGAAATTCTCATTTTGGAAGTTCTTCCTATTGCTAACAAAACTTCAACTATTGTGAATGATTTGACAAATTGCTGCAGTTGTTGGTATTATTCCTCTGCCAGTAGTGCAGGAGGCAAAACTCCGGGTGTGTGGTTGTTTCCGTAAGCGTAGCCCTTCTAATTTAAAATATTTTAAATACTTTTAATTTTAAATATTTTAAATACTTTAAAATATTTTAAATACTTTTAATTT